AAATAACCACAAATATTAAAAGACACTTCTGGCTCAATAAAATGACATCTGAAGAGACACGCTGCCTTCTCCAACAGACATCTCATTTGTTTGACTAGAACCATTTATACTTCCTTTAAGCCAGCTGGTGTCTCCATTTTGAGGCATGTATCAATGTCTAGTGAACAATCTATTCCCCATTCACAAGCTGTAGTTTCCATTTTTTAATGGAAAGTTTCCAATGAATACAATGAGTTCTTACAATGGAATTTAACTCTTCATCCAACTCAGTTCCTAAAACAAACTACAGCAATGGTACCAAGCTACAATGTACACATTAATGCTAACGAGCCAACTCACAAAGAAGTCAATATCCACAGAAGGACATTCACCAGACCATTGATTCATAGTATAATTACAAAAACAATGTATTAGATTTGACTGACAATACTGACAGTCTCTTACAATGTTACAAAATATTACAATGAGTAATATTTTGATCTTATTAAAACAATTCCTTTCATAGGGAGGTGGTGGTACACACCCTTAATTCTATTACTCAGGAGGCAGAGGCAGACAGATCTCTGAGTTCAAAGCCAGTCTGAGCTGCGACACAGAGAAACCCTGTCTCAAAAAACAAACAAACTACTCCTTTCTTAGGAATGCCATGACAATCTTTTGGTTACACAATAATATAGACATTAAAAAAGAATTTAGGTTGCCAAATAAAAAGCCCAGTACCAGTATGGAATACAGCCCCTTACTCTGTTGATCAGGGGGTGTCCTAGAGATCTCCTAGATGATACAGACTATTGTCAGTGCTATCAGTTGTCCTCCAGAACTTGATGGATAAGACTCTACTGCTGAGGACACAGCATACTCTGGTCACGGGACATGGAGCAAGCTGGTACTGACACAGAAGCCCCCCCACCCCTTAGCTAGCTTCCAGGGTCACAGAAGGTATTTTACAGACTACTGTGAAAGAAAAGTCATCCAACAGCATTGCCCAGCTGTCAACTCTGAGCTACAAAAATGATCAGTTTGGCATGACAAGCCCATGAGTGCAATTGTGGCATGACTGTCTTAGGAGTAAATGTCCTGCTTTCTGATTGGGTTTATGATTTCTGCCTGCTCCAAGGCAGAAATACATGCTTGACACTGTCAATCTGGCCAACAGCCCATGGATACAGCACTCATAGACTCAGCTATAAACCAAGGATCCATATCACATCTCCTCCCACCAATATTCAGGGACCATCTTGGAACAGGCAGCAAAGTAAGAAGAGTAAGGGCCAGGTGTCAGGGAAGACCAGAATCAGTATCTTCTGCACATGACAGGACTAGATTACAGCAACAGTCGTCCGTAGGTCCAAGACCTTCATAAGATCAAGCCAGTCAACATTTATACACAAGACTACACCCTTAGCTGAGGACCTATTAACAGCTGATGGCATCCGGGGTAGGAACAGTCAATTATCTTTAAGTTCTTAGATCAGCCATGCTCCAGTGGATGACCCCAAATCCATGAGTAAATATAAGCAACACAAATTGGCACTTGATAGGTTATTTACGGGGGTGGGGTGGGGTGGGGTGGGGGAAGGCATGAAATTGAAAAGCAAGGAAAGGGGTGGGGTGGATCTGGGAAGAGTTAAGTGTTTGATCAAAATACACTTCATGTACATAGGCATTAAATTCTCAAAGTACTAGGGAAAAAAAATACATCCTTAAAATCTTATTTAAAGCAGGGCAAAGCGGCACCCACCCTTTAATCCCAGCACCTGGGAGGCAGAGGCAGGCAGAGTACTAAGTTCCAGGCTAGCCAGGGCTACAAGAGACCATTTCAAATACACACACACACACACACACACACACACACACTGTCTCTCCCCTCTCTGTCTCCTCTCTCTTTCCCTCTACCTCTAATTTAAAAAAAAATTAAGTTACTTTTCCACCAACTTTCCGGGATAAGTATTTGATGCACTCATTTTCCCATTTTCATTTAAAAGCCTCTCTCCCAACCCACCCTCACTCACCATCCACTATCCTCTTACACACTAAAAAGTATTTTAAGCAACACTGAATTATAATACTAGACCAGAGGGCACAAACTTTGGAGGGGGGTGCATAAAAAGACTAGACAATAAATATGAATTCTGGGGCAAAACCCTCTCCACAACCTGACCAAGATAACCTGTAGTGGACTTTAAATTTTAAAGGAAGAGGACAGGCGCAACTGTATCCCAACTGTTTTTCATGGCACTGACATTTGAATTCCTTTGATTTTTTTTCAATGTCATAAAATAATCATTTTTATTCTTTTTCAGCCATTTTAAAATGTCGTTTTAAAAAAATCCTTACCTCCCAGACTGTACAGACACATGGCCATAGTTTGTCAAACCTACCTAAAGCACAGTTCTGAATCAGTAACTCAGGCACACCAAAAATCATGCTTGAGATATGATGTGTAAAAAGGGGCAAGAACAGAAGCCACTGTTAATGAACATAACAGTTTCAAGTCTTGAGGGTAAGAAAACAAGCTAGATTCCTTCAACTAGCCCTTTTCTCTAGTATTAAGTTACAAGTTTGAAAAATATTGACTTAAATAATAGTCATCAAATCAAAGTTTGGAATCACCTTCTTGGAATGTCTAAAATAACAGTCAGGGTTTAAAACAGTGCCCAAGTTCCTGAAGCTACTAATAAGCCACATCAAAGCTTCAACAACACCATCAGAAGAAACCATGAGGTAGCTAAAAAGAGAACAAATGATAAAGACAAGCTGCATATGGTACATGCTCTGTATAAACCTCCAATTCTTTAGTTTAACCTAAAAAAGTTCAACCATACATTCACAGTGCCATTGAAAGTTACAGTAAATATGTACATTTTAGCAAATTTAAACTTCAGCAATCCTCCCTAAATTTTCAAGAAGTCAATCTTCTACATTAATATTCAAATTAACTGAAATACCCACTTACTATTTAGCAAACTCTATAAACATCAATTAGGATGTAATTTTAGGTTTCAAGATGTGATCAAACTGTATCAGCTGGCTTAAAGACTAGCAATAATTCTAATCATTTTACTATTGTACTCTACCTAACTGAAGTTTGAGATAACAAGGAGCCAAGTAAGTTAACCACTGCTCCAAAGACAGCAGTGACACCACAAATTCGAAGGATCATTATTGTCTCTGAACAAGTTCCCTTTAAGTAAAGGAAGGCGTGATAACTCCCTGCTGTTTTATGTATGTGTTCAAGATTATTTTAATTGCACAGGGATATACTGTAACTCACAAACCTAACACTACTTCCAATGAAATTTATTGCTGGTTACAGCTATTTTGAAATGGCCTCATTAGTAGTTAGGACACCATTTCAATGCTCAAAGATAACAATTCATTAAGGACAATTAAAAATGTATGCCCCAAAGAATTCATTCTTCACTCTTCTCATTTTTCAGTAATGTCTAAACCTGTGGTTCTTAACCTTCCTAATGCTGAGACCCTTTAATACCTTGTTTGTGATGATTCCTCATGTTATTATGATGACCCCAACCATAAAATTATCTCATAGCTACTCCCTAACTGTAATTTTGCTACTGTTGTGAATCGTTATGTAAATATCTGATATGCCACCCCGATTGGGGTCATGACACATGTTGAGAACCATTGATCTAAACAAATCAATCATGAATGCCTTTACACCTGTACAAGGGGGAGGGGACACTTTAGGTATGATCATTAAATAAAATTTTTGGCATTTCTATGAAAACTGACTGCAAGTCTTAAAACAGGATTGCCCTAAGTTAGATCAAATATCTAATAGCAAGAATAGGTAACTGAGGTCTCACCATAGATTTGGGTATGGATATTTAAATGTGACACTAAGAAAAAACCCACTTGGACAAGCCAATTGCATATGAAAGTTACCAAATACAGAACTAGATAGTTCCCATCTTTTTAAAATGAGTTACTGAGAAAAAAAATTAAGTTAATCAAAGCATTAAGGATGATATCACCAAGAGCTCGCTCGCGCTCTCTCTCTCTCTCTCTCTCTCTCTCTCTCTCTCTCTCTCTCTCTCTCTCTCTCTCTCTGGCACTCACTCACTCACAAACCTTTGCATGTCACACACAAAGGAAATAGATTTTTACTTCAAGTCCACAAAAATCCCCTAAGGCTGTGCCGGGGGCACACAAAGATTTCAAAGTGCAGAAGGGAAAAAAGATCCCTAGGTATACACAGGATGTTAAAAGCAACCGAAGGTACACCGGGCAGTCACTTTCAGAGTATGTTTCAAGACTTCAAGTCTGAAGTCCACTGGAATCTTGATATATTCGTTACTCTCGAGACTAGGGTGTTTTTCGTTGGGACAACTAAAGCATTTACAAACAAAATTAGTCCCAATGTGAAGTACAAATTCTTTTTCATTAAAAGTTCGAGATTTCTTAAGGACTAGACGCATGGCCAGATCACATTACAGTACTCGGGAAGAACATTTGCTTTGTTGTTGACCCTGCTAGGGAAACAGGTCTTGACTCAGCCAAAGTGGCGTTCTTGTGGGTGATTAATGACAGGCCTACAACTCGCCCCAGTGACATCCATCCCCCTCCAAGCCCCACCCCTTCTATACTAAAACCAGTCAAGTCTAAAATGGAGGAGGGGCTGCCTCCTCGCCTCAAACCACTCCGTCACTGAGTTAATAGCTACAACCAATCGATTCAGCCCAAGAGGCCGGGAGACTGGGGTGAAATGTGACCCTGGGGCTCGCCGGACTTATAAATAATATCATCCTCTCTGATCGTCTCCGCTGGGTCTCTACACGAGGAAACCATTCCAGGGCTCCGGCCCCGAAACGATCGTCCTCACAATGAGCCACCCCATAATGCCGGCCGACACGGCCCTCACCCACCCAACCTGCCGACACCGCCCCCACCTTGGTTTCACAGGCCCTTCCCTTTGTGTCCGCACCCAAGCGCCCGGCCGCAGCCCACCCCGGCCGCCCCGGGGGGCCGAGGCCCACCTGTGGTGAGGCGGGAGGAGACGTCGCCGAACGGGGAAGGCTCCATCCGGAGATACTTCTGCGGAGAGGC